GCCCACCACGCGCCTCGACCAATCACTCACCGCTACACATCTTGAATATTGTCTAGTTATCTGCCGTCTCACTTGCCACTATAGCTACGCTTTCAGCTGAAAATGTTGAAGCGTATCTACGACACTGAACCCATCTCCGTGAATATAATTAACGATTTACGACTGTTTTATACCTACGATCTGTCCTCGCACTTGTAATATACTCTACTTATATATACTTTACTCGATATTCGTTTGCTACTGTTTGCCCATAGAATTTGACACGATAAGAAGTTATTGTTAAAAATTGTTTTCATAATCAGCATAGTTCGATAACCATTGTTGTTTGACCTCCTTTACTTTTAACGTTCTATTCGCGTCGGGTTCCAGCGCCACGCATCAGGTGAACGGAATGGGGTCAAATTATTCTGGACGTGTTAGGTACGCGATTTATTAGTATTACCGACAGTCGAAGTCAAACCTCGTACCTATATTAGCTCGCGATCATTTCTCAGAAGCGATCGAGAAACAAGGGACCATTGAATTGGACATTTACGTAACAAATTACGATAAATCGTTATTAAATAACGAGAACAAAGGAGCTCAGACAAGATTTTCAGAGCGTAAGCTTGTATAACCCCTAAACTCGTATGAAAGAGAGGGGTGCTCAAAGACAGGGCCGGGGCGCGAGGGGAGGGGCCCGGGTTGGCGAGGGTATGATTCGGGATTCTAGGGATGAGCTCTCGCCTCCTCTCGTTACTCTGGGACCGTTCGTCGCGGCCGTCGCACATATCTCAATCTGACGGCATCGATAGCGCATCGAATGCGTATCTTCGCGGACATCACTAGATAATTCTAAATTTAAATTATCTATTTTTCTCAATATTGTGCAGTGATTCAGTTATTTTAAGTTCTACAGATTATTTTTCACAAATGATATTAAAATAGCAAATTACTTGAGGTTTATTCGAAAATTCTTTGAGACTGTTAAGTGTAAACGTCATGAAAGATTTCTATGCTGTTCTATTTACAGTGTTTTTGTGAATATGAAGATGTCCGGTGAGTTATTTTTTTTTATAAAGCATTTTATCATACGTTTTAATATTAATATTATTTTGTTATATCTATGTATAATGAATATTACTAAACAGTTCGAAAGATATTTTCCTATATAATTTCAGCTTAGACCAAATGTAATTACTTCTAGAGTACTTTCATAGGTTGTACCTAAGTATATTTTTAATTTACCTGATCATATCAAAATATAATTTAACCTATAAGTAGATTCTTATCTATTAATTGTTATTATAAAAAATTTAATACACTCTCCCATCAGATTTTGTAAATTCCTAAACACAGATAATAAAAAAACATTGCTGTCCTTTCTGTATCTGTTTTACATTATAATCCCGTGAAGTGTTATCTAATTCTGTCAAGTGCGTGCGAAAAGACCCGAGTCTAAACCGCAATTTTGAATTATTTGTCTGTGGTAAGATGGCGGGTGTCACCTTTTGGCGGGCGCCGCCGGATCCAAAGATTGTTTGCGTTTCTTATTTGATACAGCTTATGTTGTTAAGGGTTTTATTTACACCATCGAGTTGCGAACGATATCCGCAAACAAGAAATATGAAGATCACGAATTATTTAAATAAGGTGTTGTAAAATTGCTATATAGCAATTTTAATAAAAAAAAGGAATATCTCTTTTTTATTTTACGCGTAAAATTTCATATGAAATAATTCGATATGGAAAGAGAAAAAAAACCTTGAAGCCATTTCTAGTTATATTTTGTAATTATTATTTAATATACCTACATATAAAGCTCCAAGTATCATTGATTTTGTATATTTTTCTTTAACTTTATATTTTAGCTGATTTTATAAGTATTTGCTCTGATATTCATTTTAAACACACGAAATCTTTAATGCAAATTGCAAATACAACTAAATGATTATTTTGCTAAACACTTAAATTTATTACAGACAAACTAATTATTTTAAAAGACAAATTGTCACATCTGTATCTGAAATTGCTCATTCGTCATGCTACATATGTGAGTAAAGCACGGTGCACCCTTTTTCATCTAGTAATAAGTATTTTATTAATCGTTTTTCTAACAGTTTTATAAATTGCTATCTATAAGACATCCTAACAGATAAGACAAACAATATAGGTCCTAATTGCTTGTCGTATTCTATAGTCTATGGCTTTTCTAGTACCTAGCATAGAAAATTAGAAAGCCTAGCTTTCTGCGAATAGTGAACTATTGTTATCCGTAATGAATACGTATCTAGCGAATCCGTATGTCTGATGAGACCTAAACGTTTTTATTTTGCACCTCTAATTCTGATATTTAAATGAAAATAAACCTTATGGCAATGTAATAGAGATTACACGCGTTAGATCTTATTGAGGAATAGTTAGTTCGTGTTGGAAGCGTTTTATGATTGAGCTGGGCCATGAACTCGGGACAGAGCGACGTAAAACGCGCTTATTGTCAGTGCCGTAACTAATACGTGAAATCGTACTCGCACTGGGGTCTTCGGACAACGACATCTGTGAAATGTATTGCGTAGAACTTAAGCGGTATTAAAATTATTACAACAACGTTTTGGTTTTAATTATAGTATATCCCTAAACTATTTCTTGCTAGATTATATAATACGCATGGAAAAATTATAGTGCCTTGTTAGTGTTTTTTTGTTCCTTGATAATATATTTTTGATTTAACAAATATAGATATAAGGTGTACAAATCGTCTAATGTATGTAATGCATTTTTAATGATATAGTAGAATGATAATTTCCATTTACATAGTTGGAAGTTTTACATAATAAATCCTATGAAAAGACAACTCTATACCTCGCTGTATTCTGCCTATGTTCTTATTTAAAATCTGGCGCGAATTTCTGCGGAAACCAGAGATTTAACGACAACTCCTCTGCATTGTCCATGCACGAAGCCAACGTTCACAAAACGTCAATGCTCTTCGCGATGACTAATTTGAATTTGAAATTCGAACACATTTTACGACGTCTTGCTAGCCAGATATATTTAATTGTTATTGTTTGGTTTGGAATTTAAAATGAGAACCGGTTAAATACGACATTAAAAAGGTTACATAGATTAAAAGGTTTGTGTTATATTATCTATATCTATACAGACCGGTATAAATGCTAGAGGAACAGCGGCGGAATTATATTTAGTTATCTGTGGTATAGTAGTAGGAATAAAGTCTCGTCTAATAGAATCCTCGTTAGATTACAGGATGTACTGCAAATTAGTTTGATGTATAATATTAAATTTATTCTATTTTATACGTTTATATACCCTATGTTCAATAAATACTACATTTGCGTTTTGTCGCACAATCGACCGTCGCAAGCGCAGGAATGTTTCGTAAAAAATTTCGCTAAAAATTAGTCGCGACAGGTGAAACGTACATAGCAACAGACAGTTAAGAGCCTTTCGTTAAAGGGTTTTCTTTAGACCGCGAACTTCCTGCATATTGTTACTGCACTTTTATGATGCTAAATTATCATTCTTACCATTGTGAGTCTATCGAGCGTCTAATTTTATAGCGTTTTTTGAATGCCACGTGCTGAGGAACGTATGGACAAGATAGGGGTTGTTTTAACAACTATATTAGTCGTAATGGGGTGGTTATGATTTATGGAGTGTCTCTTTCAGCTGTATTTGCCGGGGGATGTAGTTTATTGATGACACGCGTACGTATCGTTTGTAATGAATTTGTTTCCTTCGCTAAACACCGCTTCTGATGTTTGACTATCGTTTTTTATACAGAACGTAATGCCCATTAACGAAATGGTGAACATTTATCATTTTAATCGGGTGTCTTTTAACCAAACAAAGGTTACACATAAGTTATTAATACGATAATAATGCGTTGTGTTATTTTATTGTAGAATAACGTTAGTCGGTAGGTCCTTTTAAAGCTCAATACTAATGTCACTTTACAATATATATTAAATTCAGCAATTGGTGATGTAAAAGTTGAACTAACAAAAAACCTAAGTGATTATATATTACAATAATTGCATATAATCCTTAGTTTTGGTAATACCTATAACTAGCTGTGCCAGCGACTTCGTCCGCGTAGAATAGTTATTTTGGGAATCGTTCGCGTCACGACTTTCTAGCAAGTTAACTTTAAAAGATAACAGCATTAAGGGTTCATTCTTTCATACATATTTTTGAGTAGCTTGATGAATAATTTTCCCCGTTTTTCCACATTACCCGTTCGAGCTAGTATTTTCTGAGATTAGTGCGTTCAAAGAAACACACTCTTCAGCTTTATATATTAGTATAGAAATTTCAATGCTCTCATAGGTCCAAGTGTTCATAAAAATAATTAATAAATCTTGAATATTCATACCAGCTCATTCTACTTACCGCGAATAAAAGAAACAAAGACACATCTTAATGTAGTTCATTTGCATTTCGGAGGGATGCTCCGAGAGACAAGAGACAAGCGGAAACGCTTTGTTGCCAGCGGAAATCAAGCATAATGCCACCATCTTGCATTCCATAATTTTTTTTATGTCTGTAATAAGAATGGTAGGTTCGCGTCAGGATGCCTGTAGATTGCGAATAAGATAAAGGATCACTCGAGATCGTAATTGTTTAAAAAAATCCGATATATTATGAGGAAATTGCATTTCTAAAATATCTACTATTTATCAGATAATTTCTAGAACAAGGGATAAATGATGGATGGATATATGAACGATTCGGCTTTAATTTAAACTTATAGAATATTCATGAATTATTATTGAATAATTGTGTTTTGTTTTATTCGTGATTTATCTATTTTGTATGTATAACAAGTTCGGACAATAAAATTATGATATTATTTAAATATTCCATTTTGAGATATAGATTATTTTTGTTTGCTGACAATTTATAAACAAATGAATAAATTTCCAAATTAATGCCTATGCCTCTGTTAATAAACCAGTCTCTGTTAATAAAGAGTCTATAAATGTTTTTTTTATTTCCAGCTGCAGACAGCCAGGAATCTGGCAGTCCACCTCCAAGCCCGTCCGAATCCACCGCATCAGAAACAGCACCCACCCTAGTCCACATCAAGCAGGAGAATATGGTCCCCGGAATCGATAGCAAAGAGTATTATGGGACTGACTTTGGTCTCCCGGACACTTACCTACCTCAGAACTTCGCGGACTACGGACGGTTGTACAGACCACTGGATATTCCCAGCAGAGGCTTCCTAGACCACGTATTGAAGATTCCGAATGGAAAAGACGATGAGGGAAAGGATGACAGCCTATCAGAGACTTCAGACTTCAATTTGCCGTCTGAATTGATATTTAAATCTGGTGGTATTTATGCCAGGATGAATGTCAGCAGCGGTACCAAGTATGGACCGTTTAATGGAAAATGGGAGACGCAGCCACTGGACAGGAGATACGCGTGGGAGGTGAGTGCTGTTCGATTATTTGTTCTAGAATTTCGAGGAAGTTATAGTGCTAAAAGTTTGTTTCTCTGTCACGGCCGAACGGGTTGACCAATCATGATAAAATTTAATGAGAATGTAGCTAGGAACAACCCTATCCTGACTGGGGTATTGTAATGATTAGACTGTATGTCTGCTTTTTTGCATCAGTTCGAAAATACCTCTGACTTTAGTAGCTTAATTCAATTGATTAAAATAAAATTAATCAGGTCAGTCGCGAAACGAAAAAAGCCTAGCGCAGAAGTATGTTATATTTATAACAAAATTATACTAAAGGTACAACTATAAATACTGTCTATAGTTCACGGGTAGTACACATTAAATAGAACACTTTAACGGTTTAAAACGCGAAATATATTACTTAAACACTGTTTACATATTATTTCAACTTCGGCCCGACGTCGATGCTTTACAGTCGCCGTGGTCACAGAGACTCTAAAGGTACTCCTGTAACAAAGCCTTATTTAAGTTTTAGCTATGTACTGTGTCCGTATAAAAAAATGCAGACTTTTAATATTATTACAGTATTGAAGTCAAAGGTTTAAAGTTAGACCCTTGTTAACTGAATTTACGATCGTAAGGACGAAACGAACCTCTCCAAATCGAGTGTCATTTAAGTGTCGAGTTAATAAATGAGCCGAAATCTGAAGTATTTGGTAGTTTTGGTAGACGTGTCAGACGACAGCCATAAACTGCTGATTTTATTGATGTGAACACCTACTCAAGAAAACGGCCGTTCACTTAACAGGGCGCTTTTTTGTGCTACTTCATCTTTACTTGATTTGTTTAATGTGTCTGTCAGTGTTGTTCCTTGTTTAGGAATGCATGTAATTGCTTTTCAACATTTTTAAAACAGAATAAAGCATATCCGATCTCTATTGGATATATCTTAAATATAACTAACTAATAAAGTTGAATGAATGAATTAAAATGTAATGCGCTTAGAAAATTACAAATGAATATAGAATTTTATTATAAACTAGATCTGCCTATCTTTTCAATTAAATAGCTGTTACTAACAACATCCGTCGCGTCCTTTCCCCTTTTTTTATTTCACATTGCCTACTGTTTCTTCTTTCCTATCAATCGCAACATGATATTTTATATATAGTTAAATGCTCTAAACAACACTTGCACCAGTAGTCTTGGAATATGGTTGCGGGCGTCAAGACAGAACGCGGTATCTCAAGAAAAATTTAACCAGTAAATATTAACGATTAGAGAGCGTTACCCATATCATTCGATGTTCCCCAAAATAGCAATAAAAGATAGCCATTTCGAAGTTCGCAAGATTTAATCGCTATAGAATCACTTAACTACAATACACTCATAGCAAATATCCCATAGAATGGCCAAAGGACCGGAACTAAGTTCGCGCTTCGTCTCATCACAAAGGTTTGGTTTGACTGCAATGCGACACCCACAATTATGACATGTCTGTATCGAATGACAGTTTTACCGACATTTAATAAAGGATAGTAGATTTTAATATTGACATCGTAAATACTGTCTAGTTTACGCGAGTAGTAGGTACACATTTAAATAAAACACTTTAACGGTTTAAAATGTGATACATTAGTCTTCCCGTGCCACGGCTGCTGCAAAGCATCCGAAGCGTCGGGCCGAAGTTAAAAATCATTTTCAAATAAATTTAACTAATATATCGCGTTTTAAACCGTTAAAGCGTTTTATTTAAATTGTCATCGTGGTTAAAGTACAATTTATATAAGCGTTAAAGTTATGTATTATCTGTAGTTTTTGCACATTCATTTATTTCAATGTCCGTTAATTACAGACACTTTTAACGGTTCAAAACATGTAATATATTTACTTACTTAAAATTTTTCTTAAAGCTTCGGATGCTTTGCAGCAACTGTGGTCACGGGGGAACCTCTAAAATATTTTATATCAATCTGAAAAATTTTAATGCTTCATGGTCATATTACATTTAAAGTACACGTGAGAGATGCGCTTGCGAATGTAACTCAATACTTTTGCTAAATAATATTGGCATAATCCTGGAATCGCGACGGACAATTGATTTCCGTTTCCTCCGCGAAGATAACGCCACGCCTCGCCGTTCATTTCGAAGAGCATTCAAACACTCTATTCATTTATTATCTGTGTTTATCAATGCAGCTAACTGCAGATAAAATTGGCAAAATTACTGTCTGTAACGCGTGCGAGTAGTACACATTTAAATAAGACACTTTAACGGTTTAAAACACGATATATATTAACTTATTTGAAAATTATTTTAACTACGGCCTGACGTTTTGAACAGCGTTTTAAACCATTAAAATATTTATTATTAACGTAGTTAGTAAGAACTGATACAACTATGTTTCATTTATTTTCATGTCATTTACTAACATCAACATCGACTTTGCCTTCACTAAAAAAAACCAGCACTATCCATATTTAGATGTCTCTATAATATTTTTTAAAAGTACATATTTTAACGAAACACGTGACGTGATAAAACGGATACGATGGCCTTTGTTAAGAATCTAAAATATGAATAAAAATTAACCTATAGTTGATGTTTTTAAAGCATTTAAAGCGATCTCTTAAATATATCAGTCCGTAGGTATACTAATTTATAACACATAGCATTCCTTTTGAACCGGTACGTGTCAGAATATAAATACGCCAATCTAGTGCGTCATTATGTGGTTGCTGACCAAATCATTTCCGTTCAATCGGAACACTCTTTGAAGCCGGCTTTGGCCTCCCCTGTGACGTGGCTGTGATGTCTGTGGTCGTAACAAAGGGGATTTGAATCTACGTAATCAACTATTAGGACGATACAGTGTTCCACACTTATGTTAGTTTCACAAAGACTAATTAAATAAAGCGTTCAAATTAAGGAACAAAATATTTTACGTAAAGCTATTTTGTATACCTACTTCACTGAGAACAAAAGCGGTCCTTACTGACCTAAGAAGCTACTGATGTAAATACAAAGATCTACAAACCCGATTAAGTAGAGTAAGAATATTACAATATAGTAAATAAAATGATAAAGTTAGAAAAATAAAAAAATAAATATACTTTATTCTCTTTAAAATTAAAAAAAATATTTAGATTCGTCAAAAATGTTTTTTTCGTTTGTCTGTCTGTGCGTCATGATTCTACAGAGTGTTCAAAATTAAGCTAAATCATTAAATTAATATAATATAATAGCTATTGTAGTTTACCATAATTATTTTACATAATGAATTTTATACAGAGTTCCGCGATAGTATGTAGAATTATATAATAATAATTCACGGCATTTGGAATGCATTTCACGAATTCGCAAGAATTCAAAAACCTTTGAATAACATAAAAGGATTGAATTAAATTCTCAAAGTTCACATGTCTACGTAAACTTAAGGGTCGGCCATTGTGTCGATTCGGTAACGTTATCTAACCACCGTTTCCGATATCTCAATAAAGATATTGAAAGCTCGATAACCGAAGATTTCTTTAGCGATCTTCGTGTCAAAGTGCAATAAAAGGTTGCGTACGAATAAGCGTTAATTTTGGCCAGGGCGTGACCCCGTCGACGCAGTATTTCCCTTAAAAAAACTCAGGCGGGTAAACTCAACAATGAGAGATGTCACCGAGTTTGTGCTTAAAAATTTTAAAACTTGATTGGCAAGTTTTTTATGCGACGAAATCGTCGAAAATCTAACGAAACTTATTATTGGGTATTGTTAATATGTTTTTTGGGAAACACTCGACAGTTCTCACAAGATTTAAAAACGGTTTCGCATCGGTTTTTTAATTGTTATCTTGGCACAGATAATAAATTATTTAAATGTATACTCTGTGCAGCGCGTATGAATTACAATCGATCTCGATCGGGAGGAACAAGTTTTTTAATAATCATATTGCCAAACGTCAATCAAAATGATAATTTTTTTGATTGGCATTATTCATTTAGGGCGCGTTTTCAATTGATGGGATTGGCGTCGGATTCCGTTAATTATTATTGCAATTTCAATAAAAAAAAATATTGAATATAACATCAGTAATATTTGATGGAGCTGGTAAAAGGAATTGGTTATGAATGTTTTATGGAGTTCTGTTTGCTTTGCGGAGCGGTGTTGAAGCGTAGGTAACGATATAATGTTTTTTTCGTATCATATATATGTGTAGTAAAAATATGACATACATATAAACAATTATTCTTTGTCTGTTTAAATATTTCAGCTTCTCATCTTTAGGTATAAGCCTCTGTAGGCAATGTTTACCTAGGCTATGTGTCAAACAGTAGAAATCATGGAAATCTCAATAGAATATTTCGATCGGGCAGGCACAGAAGTCAAATTTACTACAACGGCCACTGAAATGTGGTCACGGGGGCAAACGGGTTTTCACTTTTTTATGGTTAAGTCGGTTTAAATAAGAACCACAAATATATCTAGCTAATTCATTATAAGTATTATATAATATTAAATATTTAATACGTATAATATCGTAATAATCTTTGCTTAAAAAAAACTAGTAATAGTAATATTTTGATTTAACTCCAAGAAGGCTTCTTTAAAACACTTTGAATTGCTGATTTGCCATTAAAATATTGTCAAACGTGTTTGTAGCATCGCGAATTAGAACGCAGCGTTAATTTTGACTAATCTCACGTCTAGCGCCGAATCCGTTGCATTGCTGTCAAAATATCTGTCAAATTTGTGTGACATCTTTTCATAGTGGCCACCCCCTTCGGCGAAGGATTAACGAGAACAGCCCTATTACATCTTCATTACGGTAGGCGGCTGACACGGTGTATTGTACGCGTAATAATAATAAAAAATATTATTGTATTGATAATATTTATACGATCCGCGTATGATCTCCGTTTACAATGGTGCAGATGGCTACTGTCACATGCGTTTGCTCGTTTAGAAGCGAAACGGCGTATCGCACTTTTATGTTGATTAGAATTGGTGTTTTGTTTTTCGTAGTTATTAATTAGACTTGAATGAATAGAGAATAAAGAGATGATACTAAAAAAATCAATCGTACAATATACCCATAATTAAATTTAAGATGGATTACAACATAAAGAAAAGAAATTTAAATAAGTAATTAAATAAAATTATTACAAATTAAAATAAGTATATTGTCCGTCACTTTCATTTATAATTTGGAATAAGTCGTAATAAAGCACTGTACAGTGTTCCTACGAGAAAAAAGCAAAAAAAATCAGACCTCGATAAAGTCTTTACTTTAGATTGTCCTTATCAATTCCTGTCTCATCGTCAAACGTCATTGTTTTATAAATATTCAACTTTTTCGCAATTGCGAACGTTAAAGGTCGGTTAGTAACTTTTCGAATTAATTATTCATTAGCTTCAATAGGTGTGTCATACCTATTTATTCTCTTTGGCCAATTGTAAATTTGCATTTTTAATTGTCTTTGGCCAATTATGTCTACAAATTGAAAATTTGTAGCCAAAAAAGGCAAAAAAATGTTGTTTTTTTTTTGTTTAAATTTAATAATAACATATTCTCTGTCCATTCTGTATGCCACCTTGAATTAAAACTACTTGAGACTAATGTGCTTATTCTAGTTTTGTAATGTTCAACGTGAATGTTTTTTTGGCTCCTTAGAGTTCCTCGGTTTAAATCCCGGAACATTATGTATGTAGTGTCAGTTAGACAGAAGTGAAATCTTTACAAAATCTTGTCATATGTAAAATTGTAATAAAATTTATGAACTTTTTAATTATTCAACGTAGTTTTATCTCAACGAACCTCAAAATTATAGCCATTATATTAATATATAAGATCAATAATTCATCACCAAACGCAAGAATAAATACACACAGTAATATATCCGCGTTATTAAAACATCCAAATGATAGGGCTGCTCCCCATCTAGCTGTTATCCAAACATTATTATTAACAAGAAGACACTTATCAGTTAATCTTACACCGTTGTACAATAGAAGCTAATCTCCAGGCGTGATAGAAATTTATCTTCGCGCAACGAGGGATCGTGTCACCCCTCGGCGGGGCCGGTGTTTGGGCTTCGATTCGATTAAAACTTACCGATTTTCATCGATTTTGGTAATTTTTTACAAGAGATCTCGAAGATTGGTAGGTTAAACATTTTTATTTCTAAGTTTGATTTTAAAATAGACATCGCCATCTTTCTATTCCAAACTTAGAAATTCATATTTATTTTCGGGACTAAGTAATGAATAAATTACTAAGTTTGATTTCACGCAATAAAAGGTTTTCGTTTAACATCTACCTTCATTACTTAATAATACAGTTGAACAATCACATATGTCCAGGTGTTTACGTCTTTATTAATCCTAACAAACTGTTACCGTAATCAACGGTAAATTTAACAACGACAAGAGAGGTTGTAGTTCTAGTATTATGTAAAATAATGTTTCCATTGGGGCATAGGGAGAACGCAGTTATGTGTCCGTGGTACTGGTACTGGTACGGTTTTATTTGCATGCGCTTTCTTGATCAGATTCTTGTGCTCTGTCACACCCAAATAATTAATCATTCCCCCGGGTTCGATCTGATGATGAAGAACCTCTTATGCTTAGGCAACACATTTAAGCGTTATATCTGATAAATCATAATTCTAGCGACACATTAAACGTGTTTTTCACCAAGCAATATATCTTTGTTGTTCCAAATCCACTGTGTATGGCGGCGCAATAAAATCCCATTGCAAAGTTTACACAAGCCATGTCTCTGCGGCTCCTTATTTTCACAAATATTTTTCGTTCGCAAAACAGCGCGCCACTGGAGCAATATTTCATCTGAGCTGGCCAGAACAATAATAGCGCTTCGAGTTGAAGCCACGGCACGTTCCTACCACAATGTAACCGGCTGACCAGAATAACTTGACCTCCCAGACCAGGGCCGATTGCCTTATTCACTTTTTGACGGACTCCTTCAATGATAGCAATGTATTATAAGCTAGTAAACAATGGGTTCGATTCTCAAAATAATTATAGAAATATGCTCCTTACGGGTCTTAAAAATATTAATTTATTTAGGGAACTTAACAGAGTTTTCTGATAAAGAAAACTAATTAATAATTAACTAACAATTTCAATAACTATTTGTTAGTTATACTACTATAGTATGTACTTAAATATAACTAAATCAAAGTATACCTGTACTTAAAGACTTATCTTTTTAACAAGTTTCACTAAAAACGTTGCCAGACATAAATTAAACAAATACTTCACTGTGAGAAACAGTTCTCCAAGACAACAAGAGATATTGAAAATCTTTGACATTTAGTTAAAAGCGTAAAAAAGCTGACAGCGCATTCTAATGGACATTACTTCTATCAAGTTAACACACAACGGCCCTTAACTGAATGTTCCATGAGAGCAGTGAGGGTTCTTGATATTCTGGTCGCTAGAATACCATCGCCAGCATCCGTGTAGACAAAATAACCCATTACTTCGAAAGCAACACGATATATCCACCATTATTGGGTTAGGTTAAGACTTGTTTACACAGAGAACTCGACAGGGCCAATTGTTGATGCGTACAATGCCAAGAAGCTAAGTTTGACGCACATCTAGCGATACTAGATTTTATATAGCTAAAATGTATGTTTGTCTTCTTTTACGGTTGAATGGAGCAACTATTAAGTATGTAATTTTCATAGCCTTATAAAATACATAATTATTTTACGCCTACGCGTATGCGTTAGAATTTATCAGTTTAGGTAATTTCGTTGGGGACAAATACGCAACCTATTCTATTCTATTTACTAAATTTATATGACTATATTATTTTGGAAATGTTCCGTGAACTCAAGTGACGATATGAAATAATTTAATGGTTTGTTAATGTTACCAAGGTTATTTAAATGTGTTGGCTTAACATTACTGCGTGTGTTTTCTATAACATAGCGACTTTACCTTTACCAAATAAATACATTTTATAGTGTCTTTATTATGTATCTAAATTAGGTTTTGTCTGAATGAATAAACTACGTGATAGAATGCGATTTTATAGAAGATATATAGTATACAATTGGGAGTTGAAATGTGGACCGTATTACCAATTGTTCTTATTGCTTGTTATAAAATATTATATATAAGGATATCCTAACGGCTTTAAAATTTTACAAATGAAAAAAATAACAGTAAAACTTAACCATCGCCACCCCGTTAAGCGCGAAACGGGGGCAATAGATGAACACAAAAAAACCAAAACGAACCGAATAATTTGAGATCTTAGAAATTTTCACGCTGACAATCGGTCGGTGTCTTTGTCATCGAATGGCTGTTTTTTGCTTGTAATCTTCTGGTTAATCCGTTTTAACACATCCAGATGTGCTCCCGTCGCGAATGACGAAATTAAATCACACTTTTATAGGCCTTTTGAAGTTCAGTTCGCAGGTAGCTTGAAATTTGCTATAAGTTACTATCATTTACATTTATTTGCAATAATTTTCAAGGCTAATTTAAGAACAGTACAAAATATTGATGGACTATGATTTAATTTTTGTACTTAGATTTTGATAAATCATTAGCTTATTTCATAAAGTGTAATCCCGTTTTACCCTGTGGGGTATGGGCCAAACATTTTACTACAGGTATCAATAAGTTAATCAGCAATTCTGTGATCTACCAAACTGATTGGACTCGATTTTATACTAATCTAACTAAAGTATATATCAGAAGGTGGTATATTATTATAGTTTTACTAATCATATTTTTTTTAAGATACGATTCGGTCTTCTTAATCTGATACGATTACATTATCTATAGAACAATATGTATCTGTTTCACACAGAGCTTCTTCTTGATTACTTCATGTGATTCCGTAAATAAATATGCACATGTTCGTGTTAACATGTAGACATAATATATTCATGTGTTCCCTTGATGTTATTCTAACAAACAAACACAAAAATGTCCACAATTGGCAGTGGCGATTGTTCACCGATCACTGAACAAACGATGGCCGGTCTTTGTGCCAACCCGTGGGGTGCCATTAATACCAGATCAATGCGACATCGCATTTTGACACCCACGGTATCTGACACGTGAATAGAAACCTATCACCACGCAAATCGATAAGGTCGAAAGTCGCCTAACACCATTTCACTTCCACTGCAAAATAGACTTGTTTATCCATTTTTTTGCGCAATGATATCGGCCGTTCGTGGATATTTTGTCGCGTCAGGAATTAGGGCGTTTTGTCTCCGCTTAATGGTCGAAACGTGACCGAGGAAACGTATTCTAATTTCTCAATAATTTGTTAAGGTTACGGCGACAATGATATATAGTGAAGACCTTTATATCTCCAACAAAGGCCTAACTTAATGAAGAAAAAATTGGATTCGACCGATTTTCCTTTATAAAAACGGGGTTTGTTCTTCGTTGACAGGGCCGGAAGCAATACTTTTTCCTGCTGATAGCGAAGACAAGCGAAGGAAACGCGCTTCCTCACCGCACAAACGTGGACACGGCTAATGGAAAAACTGGGGTTATTTTGTTGGAATATTTTCGGATGTACGGCCGGAAATTTCGAGTTCTTTATGTATGCGTTCGTTTGGATTAACGTTTCCTATTTATTATTTATCTACTTTGTCAAAATTGAAAATCGGTATACCGTTTTTTGTACATTACCTACTCAGCCAGCGGTATCGATCACAAGCATTAAAATACTAACAAAACCTCAAAATAGTCGAACATGTCTATGACATTATTAAATAATTAAATGAATTTAACCATTTATTAAATGAAATATTTCTTTACATCTGCATAAATTTTAATTTTCTGCCTAATTATAAACTTTTGACTTTAACTTATGAGTTAGGCAGAACGGATTCTGTCATTTTCCTACATATTCCAACAAGAGTCATATCAAGCCAAGTAAGGCACCAAAAAGTTATATAAGTTTCATTTAAAAACGAGACGGAATAATGAATTCATACAATTTTAATGTTAAAAATTTGTTTTCCAATGTTAGCCGTTTGTTTAGTTATTATAATGTTTTAGTGATTTTAGGAATTGTTAAGTGACGTAAGAAACCGTCTAGTTGAATTAAATTTAAATGTATAAGTATTCTTCAAACGGGGCCAGTGTGCACATATGTAGGGCTGGTCCAATTTGGCGCAGGCGTGCCACGGGTAAATAAGCGCGCACACAAATTGTTATCTTGTGAAACGAGACGTGTGATTCGCGCAACGACGCGTTATAGCCGCTGCCGTTCCAACCGCTCTTCAGCTGCAGCTAGGGATGCGCCGGGCGCGTTGTCGATGAAGACAGAACACACGACGTCCATTTCAACTGTTACATTTGTAACCATACTATTAAATACTGTTTTGAGCAGTAATTAAAAAATCAGTCGGTAATAAATTTGTAATCGTTATTGTTTTGCAATAACTTGCAACTATCGTAGAACAAAACTGTAGAATGTTTAATCGAATTATTAAATCTTGTCAAAATGCAATAGTTGTAATCACTCTCTTGACTGTCAAGCTAGTTACAATTATGATTCTTAAAAAAATCACACATTTCGTTAGAGTTCAAATATTTTGTGTTACAATTACTAATTTCTCCGCTAATGTATTTGAACACTACAAAACATCAAGTGTTTTCCAAGAAACATTAACATGCCCACCTACAACCAATAAACATCGATAACTGTTCTCGTACATCACTAGAATTTATGAAATGTAATTTTCCGGCGCGAGCGAGTCGCGAACATTTGTAGCTTTTCCGAGTATTCTGGGAAATTGCGATCTCCGCGGAAAATATGAGATCTACCGCAGTTCGTTTAAATTACAAACTCAGTTTTTATAATAATCTGCAGTGCGGTGCCGACTGAACCGACTTTATACGATGATAAATAACCGGGGAAAATCTAGTGGATTTTTTGTACCGGGGCTTTTTTCATTACAAATATAAATTATTTACGAATCATGTGAATAAATTCAGCTGCGTGTAAATCGTGGTATTTGAATGTTCGAGGAAATTATTATTATACGCGATACATTTTTAACGTGAAACGGAAAGAGGATTAAAGTGATTCAAAAATGGTGAATGTTAATGCCTAATAAATTATATAAATATTAGCCCTATTCAAGTTATACTAACATAATCTTGTTATAAAATATATATAGTAGAAGATATATAGATTTTAAATTGGTAATTTATATTATAGTTTAAAATAAAATGTGTAAACAAGATATTTTTTTTTTCAAAGAAATTATAATACCTAAACTTAGCTTCAAAGAGTGCAAAATGGTTCTCACTCAATAACAAAGTATATAATCAATACATATTATTATGATTCCTTGCATTGTGAAGAATATTTTAGAGCAATTATCATTGATATATCATAAAATGATGATTTACCTTAAATTTAATTATCAAATGTCCAGCAGCCATCGATAAGTGTCGTGTACAGCGGACACTAATATTTCAGTGTCGCCACTGTCCGCGACCATCCTCTGCCCAAAGTACATCGATGACTGATCGCTTACATGTGCTGCCCTCTGTATCCTTAAATAGGGCTGTCTATATTAAACGAGACGCATATTAAACGGCTTAGCGTATTATGAGTTGTCATGAAAACCTAATTGTGAGGTCGAAAGGGCGTAAGTATAAAAAAACTTTGAGGTTTTCTTTAGTGAGTACACGGTACAGGCTTGTCTACTCTCGAGAACTTAATAGAAAAAGTAATAACTTAATAAGACTACTCACCAAAAAATATTTTGCAACACAATTCAACAATAAGAGACAACAAGACATACATCGTAATTTACCTGTTTCAAATAATATAATTATCTACGAATGATAGGTAGTTATCAGATAATAGGTATATCTTTTTTTTACTAAAGATAAATAAAAAAATCGGACGTCTCTAATTCACGTGTTTCTGCGAGACTAACTTTTCACGCTAAACGCATTGTCAGCACTGATTAGCTAAAATTGAGTGGTATACTTAGTGACTTGAAATCTCGAAATTCAGTGACGAAAGATATAGATAAAATTACTACGTATTAATTTAAAAAAAAAGTCTTGTAACCCCTGACCGAAGTGTCTGCGTTGAACGATGTATGTAATATATATCTTATTTCAATGCCAAACAAACTCGTATAGTAATGCGTTACAAAAATCTTTATTATCAAATGCTTATTTGCATTTAATAACGATTAGACTGATGTTAATCGTGACATATCAGCACGTCCCGTTAGTATAGGAGGCTTTCGGGCCAACATATGCGCAATTATTATTATTAAAAAACCTAACAGCGTCAAAATACCCGAATTCAAGTGTTTTATGACGTCACCAACTGAAGCGTAAACCCGCTTGCGGCAGCCCTAGCCAAGACGAGGGTTGCGCTAAGATAATTATCTTTTTTACTACACCCGACGTAGTTTTAATAACGTGATAAATGCTGCGTAAAGGCTTGCCGTTGACGCGTAAGGAGGGTTTCCCAAGTTTAACTTTGATTAATACCTCACTTGTTACGATATCTTTATTGTGCAACAGATGCTTTTTATTTTTCAAGTGATTTCCTATTTTTTCCTCGTAGACGGGGTGGGGATCGCGTTTTTAATTTTACGCTGGATTAGATGCATCTCGTTTCCCTCGCTGTTCAATTTGTCATTAGCCGAGGACTGAAATTGTTTTTCAGCGTGATAGGTGATAGCAGGCTTATCGACGATAAGACGTGTTAAAGACTGATGCGATATTATTTATATTATGTAACAATCATACTCAGATCAGACAAATTAAGAATTTGAAACAGTTTTTTTGATTACTAACATAGGCGGGTAATATAATTGCAATTATAAAACATTTAAATAAAACACTTTAACGGTTTAAAACACGATATATTAGTTAAACTTATTTGAAAATGATTTTTAACTTCGGCCTGACGTTTCGGCTGCTTTGCAGCAGCCGTGGTCACGGGGAGACTAAAGATGGAGGATATCTTTAGTTTAATCATCATTTAGTTTAATCAGGGAGACGAATAAACAGAAAGAAAAAAAGATGGATAAACAGCATACCCGGCAAACGTGAAGATACCGTTAGTCAATTCTGTAAGGACCCGGCCAGTTTCGCCAAATACCAACTTCTACGGAAAGATGGCGCTAGGTAGCAAATTTTTACTTTGACGTCAGAGACATCCTCCATTTTTGTCTCCCCGTGACCACGGCTGCTGCAAAGCATCCGAAACGTCGGGCCGCGGGCCGAAGTTAAAATCATTTTCAAATAAGTTTAACTAATATATCGCGTTTTAAACCGTTAAAGTGTTTTTATTTAAATATGTACTACTTACTCGCGTAAACTATAGACAGGAATCATATTATTATTTATTTTCATTTATGAGGTAAGCTGATATAAATTTAAAATCAATCAAATTCGATCTTTTTCTATGTAAATGGTCAATTGCACTTGTACACAAATGTACGTATGAATCAAACATTTTTATTCCAATATTGAATATGTCTTCATTATTGAAGCAGTTTCTAATTGAGGGTGGAATAATGGTTATACACAATATTTACCAAGGCAATAGATCAAGCTAACCTCCAATTGAACGATACAAAGCCCTCTCTATCTAAAAGTACACATCTCCTAAAAATACAGCCTATTATTGGCTATTATGGCTCAATCGTCAAACTCGACATTCATTTTTTTTATACGATACTCGACCTTGTATTTATAGTATTAAGGGTTATAATCCTATGAACATAAAGGCGAAATTATGTTTTATTATTCGGTGTAGCGTACGCAGACGTAACGTGAAGTGTGTGATAGAAATTGTAGGTTAGACCAACCCTCATAACGAACTACAAAGCTCCCTTGTTTTACTTATGGTAAATTATGTTTAATTTGAGCAATTTATGGGCTTTGCACTGGTGTAAATTGTGTATAGATCTTACTTGAACAGAGTTTCAATAAGATTTTCGTGCAGTCAATATACTTTTAAGTTCAATAAGTATGCAAAAATCAATAATTTAATAGGAAATTAAAAAAATTTAATATTAAAGTAACAATATTACATGTAAAAATCGGGGTTCGAACCCGCGACAGAATGTATTCTTGCATTTATGTGCTTACACTATATCTTCGTTCAATATGCATACAGGTAATATGTTGCTTATAAAACTATTTGAATTACTAACTAATTCGAAACTAGGCCTCAATTACGAGAAACTCCAACAATAAATCACTTATAATTAAAAAGAAAAACAAAAACTTGCGACCGTCGTATAAATGTATAATAAAAACGTAATAAATAATAGCAGTGCCTATGAAATTAAATTATCAAGGGCGGTCGAGTGATAAATGGGCAAGCTGTGACGATCTTGACAGGGACTAATAGCGCCATCTATTTTGAAGCCGCAGTATCACTAGTATTGATAACGACTTACAGATGGCACTGATCTGTGACAAACAACCTATATATTGAGCAAACTAGATTGTATTTAATTGTGATAATGTTAAAAGGAACTTAAATGTTGTTTTTTTAAGGTTGTCAAATTAAACACTAAAATATATTTAACTTCGAAAATACGTATCACATTGTGGCGGTTAAACTTAGTGTTATAAGTAATTCGTTCGTTATTTTAGTTTCAAATGACTACGCTAGATGGCATTGATCTAAATAATGTAATATAAAAAGAAATCCTGATGCTTTATTATTCATCAAACTTCTTAAGGTTTACGATTATTGAAAAGACAATAATTAAGTTTGCTAATTGCTTTAACACGTTATGTAATATTTGGTTACATTATCAGATTTTATAGAGCTTTTTTTCTTATTTTCAGGTGCTCGGAAAAAATGGTGTTCGTGGCTGGTTAGACGGGACAACGGACAAGTCAAATTGGCTTAAATTCGTCCGGTCTACAAACTACACACATGACGTGAACGTCCAACATCTCCTATTAGCTGGACAAGTATGCAAATAATTATCTGTATTTTTTCAAACTAAATCGAAATCACGATTCTATTTTACAATCTGTGCATCTAAAGAGGGTGTTTACAAAAAATCGCCTGCAATTACATTTTCCCGCGCAACTATTATAATAATTCAACTTTAGAACAATTAAGTCAAACGAATCACAACCCTCATTAAAACCGCGTCTTTCTCACTACCCCAATAACATTTGAATGTGGAACGTTGGCAAGTTCCGGTGGCTGAAAATCGGTGTTCCCTCGAACAACTGTGACCCACTTCCGGTCAGAGGGGAGTGAACAGATGCGATGATTAGATTCACTCTGCCCCCTTAGGTTAAACGCTATTTGATATTTGCCCTAATATGTTTGACTCTGAACTCTGTATGATATTAATATCATTATGATTTTCTACGTAACGTGTATTTTATTAATATATACATTATTTTATAATTTCACTGAAACAAATGCTTGGAATAACACGGACATGTAAATAATAATGATAAAATTTACTACGTATGATAGTTCATATTTGTAACTAAATAAAAAAAGCTGTAAATAATAAATTACGATAACTACCCAAAATTTACACTTCTAGTTAAATGGTTTTGTTTGGCGGTTAAGCGCGGTGGTTCTTTGATGCCCGGGGAAAAAACATACAATGTTTCAGCCGGGTGGAGGGCAGACGTCTATTAACTTGCCTGTAAGAATAATCGATCAGTAAACGGACACAGAAATGTGTTCGCAGAAATAGGCTTCATTTTTATACCAAAATTTCAGACATTATCTAATTTTGGTATTGTTTTTACAACACACTAACACTAATTTTCGTTTTCTCACCTATTTTAGTGAGTTTAAGATCTTTTGGATATATATTTATTAATTGTTTAACGAAACAGTGCATACCAAATTCTTAAATATTCAAATGAAATTTCAGATTTGGTACAAAGTAACCCGTGACATTTCATCTGGACAAGAATTACTATTAGGCCCCAGAACGCCGTTACCATTGCAAGATGTGCTGGCTGCTGGCGGTAAGTTTTAATTCACTTCACCTTAAAGAATACTCTTTATGATCTTACCTTATAAACAATTGTATAAACATTATAAATACATACTTGTAATTATTATAACAAGGTTATTTTAAAAACATAAAACATATAGTGGCTATAGGTTGCTACAAAAAGATTAAACTGTCTACTGTCATTTGAAAGACTGATTTTTTAAAAATAAAATTTTTAAAAAAATTTTTTTTTTGGAAAAATACCCCCGCCTATAGCATCTAAGATGGGCTGTCGATCTATTTTGGCTTGCGATATTCAGAAATCCACAGACTGAAATCGGTATATTCATTGTTGATATGTTTGCGTTCGGAGTAAGTTTGTCGATTCAAAAAGTATAGATAATTTTGTATACATTATTAGAATAAATCCCACAGTTGACTGACAATCACGCTGTCACGGTTGGTTGGTTCTGACCAGCTTTAATTGGAGTCACCTGCCTCGTAGCGTTCTGAACCCTGACTGTTTTTATTGCGTATATACACAGGTTGATTTTTTTCATTTGAAACCTTGTTGACATCTAGTAACACTTTATAATGATGAAAAAATCACGTTAAATTAAACATATTCATTAATTAAAGTACTTGTGTGCACACAGTATTTTAAAGTAATTATTTTTTTGTAAATGTATTATAAGAATAGACACGACGCGAGTTTGCGGTTGTCAATATATATTACTTGAAAACATTGATTGGTTCTCTGTTAGTTGAAATAGTCACTAGTAATTTAAAAATCGAAAAGTTTAAATAACTTTATTATCTTGAAATGAATATGTTACTGGTTCATATCTCTGTTAGTTAAATAGTCAAGTAATTAAATCATAAAGTTTTATTATAAATGTGTACTGCCGATTAGATAGTTTTAGAAGAACATATCAAGAGTAAAGTTTATAACAGTCATTACTGTAATAAAAGCACACACTGTATGGGAAAGGAAAATCACAAGGCACCGACACACGGCGGCACGCGCGCATGCGATATTTAATTTAGATAAATCGCGACGAACGTTGTGAAAAATCACGCATATGCCATATTGACGGTGGGGTTCTCGGTCATTATTTATCACTGGATACGCCTCCGTCTCGTGTGGGTACCACCTTTCGATATTAACCCGTCTAGTGGTCACCAGACTTGAAGTCGCAACTTCGATCTACGGTCGTTTTTATCCTTGGTGTACGTTTTAGTACGTACATACCACCATCTGGATCAAATTGGCATATCGGAATCATTAATTCAGTATGTGACCTAACGATAAAAAGCTCTTGACCTCTTAGTTCCACCGGCCTTACTTATCCAATGGTTGAAAGCTAAATGTATGATGATGATATTCTTTTGAGTATAATCAATTGAAAAGTTAACGATAATGTTTTAGTAACATTTAATTGTAATTAGATAAAAGAGTTAATAGATATTAGTACTAAGAATGAAACAAGAATAAATGTCTAATCTAGTGCAAACAAACACTGTCACATAAGCTCTTCAGTGTTTCCTGTATGACTTCCGGCGCTGGCGTCGCATTCACCGTTACGAGTGATTTATGCGATCCCAATTGCACGTAATTACCGTGCTGATAAAATTATCCGACACTGTCTTTTCTGTTTGGGGTCAGTAATGAGTCATTGCGTTCTAGGCGCGGCTACATTCTAAACCTTTGTGAGGATTCGTGTTTACAGACTAACATTCGTGATACCTACTCTATTGAACTTATTTTAAATTCTATTGTACAACCTACCGAAATAATAGACATTAGAAAAGCTTCGGTAAATAAGAATGTTAATAGTTAAATAGAACGAAATAATCTTAGTTCTACATATACTACAGAAGTGCTTAACGAGCTTGGCAACGTATGTTACAGCTGGTCGAATAGTACTAATGTTTGACTAATAACCAATAGATCGTGGGTTCGATCTTCACCAGACCCAATATATTGATAATGCATTTATAGTTTTCTGAAGTATATTGGACGTCGTCTGGAAACTGGATACTAAACACCACAAAGATAAAAAAAACCGTCAAGTTTAATCGCATTTCAGTCTGTGGATCCGAATATCCAAAGCCGAAATAGGTTAATGCATCTTGTTGAGTTGTTATATATATATAGCTGGGGTATTTCATGCCTGCCATCTCGTGTGTTTAACCTCTAATGCAAAACAAATAACTGATACAAGGCAATACCGACGAAATCACTGAATCTTTCTGATAAAATTTGTTTTGCCACCCACGATGTTTTCGTATTTGTTGTAATTAAGTCAATAAAGGTACTTCGAAATATTTTGTTCCCAATCGTCTATCATCTGCACTTCAGCTTCGACAGTGACTCTCAAATGTGATCCCTAATTAGAATCGATTTGTAGCCGCTCCATTCAAGCATTTGTCATAATGCCCCGGGCTTGCGCAAGACATGATTGATGGTATATTTATCGTGAAATCCCGTCGATTCTTTCATTCATATTAATTTCGATAGCGTTGCCTTTTGCGAAAGGATTAATGGATTCGGTGGCACATGCTAGATAAGTTATTGAATGGTGGGTTCTAATGAAAGAACTTTTGAACGATCGTTGATCGATCATTGTTTTGTAACGTTTTCTTGACGTTCGTGTGACGTCACATTTTTGAGTGGAAATAATAGACTTGAATATAAGCAAGCAATCAATATAAACTTTGAATTAAGTTTAAATAAAATTTAACCTTGAAAACTTAAAACTATAAAAATACGTCTCGGGCAAGCAACACGGCACACGGCTGTGGATGCCAGTTCAATTCTCGCTCGAGTCGTATTTTTTCTTTTTTCAATTTATAATCAACTTTTAATTTTTTCAACATTTGTAAATTTTTTGAGGAATGTGAAACTTAAGAAAATAATATCTCTCAATCTTTTAATAAAGTATCTGATTAAATATTAACGTTTCTACAATAGTAATTCAATTATTGTACAAACAAAGTATAGCTAGTTTTATCTGTAGCAGCTACATCGGGCTTATTGAAGATTAAAATTCGAAATCCGGATTAAAATCTTTCGAAAAATAAATATGAATATTTCATAATAATCAGAACGCAAGCAATAATAATATCGAGTTAACCCTTTATTAGCCGCGCTTTTTTTAAAATTGGCCGCGTGCGTTCGTGCGTGTAATGAATGAGTGTCGCGTTGACATTTGTCATCGCGCAATTGTCGTGCAGATTAAAATTGATGACGTTGCTTTGTCCGCCGCGACACACGCTCCTTTGTTAACAGCAGCCGTATTATCATACAGCACAACATTACTTTTCCAAATCTGATAACATACAATGTTCTATGCCTACGCAACTATTCAACATATAAAATAGTTTACGAACGCTCCCTAATTAAATAAGACACTTTGCCCGGTTTAAAACGCGAAATATTTAGTCTTATAAATTTTTTACCTCGTGGTCTTTGTCATTTTACGGCTGGTAGCTGACGTTGGGGCAAACTATTATATTTCGCATTTTGAACCGTTAAAAGTGATTATTTTAATGTGTTCCAATTACGTAAGCTATAGACAATGATTATAGCTTCATACTTATGTATAGTTAGATTATTATATTATAAGTATAGGTTTATTTACTTTTCCCGTCTCCTCTCTTCATATGCCACGGCTTTTAAATTGCGTCCGTTTGTAACTGAAAATGATGTGTCATCGCCTTTTAAATTCAGTGAATGAATTATTGCAAACCGTTTTATCATGGAGCCACAGTATTTCTCTAAACATATTTGTGAACGAACGAAATTTATGCGAACATAACAATATATTTTCCTCAAATGTAACTAATTTAGTTTGTGTAAATAACTACTTTATTTTAAAAGCACTTACGTAGCCTTAAAGCCGATTTTATATGATACTGACTAATCAGTAGATACATACAAAAAAATTGAATAAAATCGGCTCTAACGCGACAAACACATTTAGACGAACAGAGACATAACTCGATCGCAACTCTCGCAACGATCCCTCAAAAGTAGAATGATTAATCAAAAAATTAACCAACAACAATAGACGCACACCCCATCAAACTGAGCACAATCGCTCGGCATCCCACATCGTATATTTATTTAACAATCAAATAAATATTACGGACAATAAAATTGAAATATTTCAATTTAATATTCCCGCCCCCTAGCGAAAGGGTTAAATCTGTAACGGGGGCATTTGTCTCGTTCTTTGTTAAGAGATTAGACTATCTAGATGCGACGCGAAATTAAACAATTTTTAGTTCAATGCAGATAACACAAATCCATATTTTAAAACTCTTTATTATATTCAAACACAACTAAAAACTCTCTACCAATATATCACTAAACGTATTATGTAAACGTTTCATTATTAACATTACTTATGTGAAGAAGTAATAGCACAATAAGTGTCTAGTGACAATATTACTTTGACATTAGTGACACCTTCCATCATCAGTTCCCCCGTGACCATGGCTCCTGCAAAGCATCAAAAACGTAGGATCGTTGAAATAAATTACAAATATATAGTATAATTTAACTAATACATTTCACGTTTTAAACGGTTAAAAGTGACGTTTGATTAACTACATATTTACCTGTAAATAAATTATTATCATTAATGTATTTTATGGCAGTTAAGGTAAATACTGTCTATAGTTTATGCGAGTAGTACACATTTAAATAAAACACTTTAACGGTTTAAAACGGTTAGTTAAACTTATTTAATATTTTTAAGCCCCCCCGGGGGGGGGGGCTTTGCGGCGGCCGGGGGCCCGGCTGCTGCAAAGCATCCGATTAAATGCAGTTAAGGTAATATTTTTAGTAGGACCTTTGAACAAGTAAATAAATATATATATATATATACATAATTGAACATGAAAATTAAAAGATAGTTATAAAGATGCCGCGTCTTTTCTTAGTTTAACTCAAGGGAATTATAACAGCGTATATCTCTGAACTTTCATCAGCGGACCGATAACCCAGAAGCATGATAACCATGCAATATGGTAATAAATAATAATGAATTCAAATCAGCGTTTTATCAGCATCCTGCGCCAGCGGACAATACCGGTAAGGACCGTTCGCACCGCGGGGTGTAACGGTAAGCCGGTCGCACCTGATGCGTCGGAAAGTCGGCGCAGGCGCACGCAGGGTTACATTCTAATAGCGAATCAGATCGCCATTGTATTATTCAAACATTCTTAAGCTAATAGGAACTTCTGCCTGGATTTATGCGAATTCGAGCAAAAGGTCACGATACAGAATACGCTGCTTATTTGTTATTTTAATGGCTCGATTTACATAATATTTTGCGCTCGAATTAAATTTTATGTGGCTATACATTCCGAATATACAAAGCCAAAACAGTGAAATGGATACAGAAATGTGTTCGTTTCATGCACCACGGAGAAGCAAGATATCACTTATTATGAGTATATATTTGGTAGATATTAATAAAAAACGAATCAATTATTTACAAACGATACAATACTTAAAACTCAAGTAATTAAAAATAACGTGAGGTTCAAGTGAACTGTTATCATTAAAATTATAAACCACAAAGGATGGCGACATAACGCGTTACATAACGAGCAAAAATGAACTAAAGTAGAATGCGTACTTATTAACCGCGAGAAACAACAGGTGAGCTGGTGTGGGGTCACTTAATTCAGTTAAAAAGATCGGTAAGTCACCGTCACGCTGTTAGTTTGCGCCATTTGGTGGTCGTGGGAAAACTTAACGATTCCCTTACGGTCATATGGTAAACTTTGGGATAGAGAACTCAACTTCAAATTAATTTAACAGTACTAAGAAATTAAAAAATATATATCTGTGTACTAGTTGACTAAAATCTGTTTTAAATCCTTATTGGAAAAATACATATAGTAAAACGGGTTGGTCTAATATACCATAATCACAAGGCCTGGGTACGATCCCCACCGGGTCCAAATGTTTTTTAAAAAAATCTATTTTTTATGAAACATGTTGAACTTCTTTTAAATAAAACACTTTAACTGTTTGTAACGCGATATATTAGTTAAACTTATTTGAAAATGATTTTTAACTTCGGCCCGACGTTTCGTCTCCCCGTGACCACGGCTGCAGCATAGCATCCGAAACGTCGGGCCGAAGTTAAAAATCATTTTCAAATAAGTTTAACTAATATATCGCGTTTTAAACCGTTAAAGTGTTTTATTTAAATGTGTACTACTCGCGTAAACTGTAGACAGTATGTTGAACTTCGTCATCGGTATATATCCGGGTCACGAACCACCGTCCACACGTGAATAAAACCGTGAAGCCTAATCGCCATCTTAACATGTTATATCCTTGGGGTATGTCACCTACCATCAAGTCAAGCTTATACTTGTCCGTCTTCATAAAAAAATACAGTAAAAAACAATGACCTGGAGCAGTACTCAAACCCACAACTAACAACGCACGGATGCTCCATCATTGGGCCTACTAAAGATATAAGCTCAAGCTTATGTGTTTTATTATATAGTTATTGTTAACATAATTTAAATATTAAACAATTCAAGTTAATTTAAGTAAAAATTGGGTGGCTTTTGCTTACGTTTTTCTGTTTATCTAGAAACGCGTAAAAGACTTATGAATAAATAATAATCTTAATATCCCAACGAAAAACTTTCATCTTCCTCTTAACGAGAATATAATTATAGTAATAGTAGGAAAGGCCCAGTGAAGCTAAAAATGTATTAATATCCTATAGTTCAGTTTGTTGGGTTTGGGGTGCGGAAAAGCCCAAGTGACGTAGTAACTTAAATCTATATAAACATGAGCTTTTATTTCATATCTTCATTTAAAACCGTATGCCAATCACTTCTGTGACAGTACTAACGGAAATTATATTTGTATGGTAAGTTTTGCTCGAGTTAACAAATAGAGAGTTATGTTTTAAATATAAAAAATATCTCCCTAACACCGGAAACGGTTATAATAATAAAAATGCTTTTTAACTGCTTCAAATGTGAAATGTATTAGTAAACTTATTTATAATCTATTTTAAGTTAAATGCAACACTATAAACGTAGTTGAAATTTTGTATATATTTCGCGTTTAAAACAGTTTAAAATATTTTATTTCTAATGTGTATAATTAGCGTAAACTCATAGTAGAGGGCTTAGAAGTAACGAAGCTGATGATTGTGCTTTTGACACAAAAAGGTTTTTATATATTTTTTGAAGCGGTTTGCGATTTTCTATTTTATTTTTGTGTTATCTGTTTTTCTTGTGGTATCTGTGGATGACATTCGAATACGACGTTATCAAGTATTTATTCTTACTGTCTCATAATAATCTTTAGTCTACGATTCGATACATTCGCACCCCCATAGCAAAGTCCTCAATTAAAAAGTCATACAGCACCTACGTCACGCATAGGTGATTCCGACTATTGAATGGGTCAAGTGAACATATTAACCCTCTGGTGGGGGTGGCATGATAATTTACAAACACTTCAGTATTGTGTTGACATCAAATAGTGACCGGTTGACTTTGGAACCTGGTACATCTTAGTGTATCCCGTGCTATCCTTAACCGGCGGTGAGTCATCATATTTCAATTAGAAGATATTCTATTTTCAAATGCTATTTTAAAAAATATTTTATTTAAATACTGTCTATAGTTTACGCGAGTAGTAGGTACACATTTAAATAAAACACTTTAACGGTTTAAAACTCTCCCCGTGACCACGGCTGCTGCAAAGCATCCGAAACGTCGGGCCGAAGTTAAAAATCATTTTCAAGTAAGTTTAACTAATATATCGCGTTTTAAACCGTTAAAGTGTTTTATTTAAAAGAGGTTTTATTTGTTTCGCCTTCACATAAACAATTTTTTTATTATTTTCCGATAATCGCGAGATCATGTTAGAATTCAAATACTGTATGTAGTTATACGCGAGTAGTACACATTTACATAACACTTTAATGGTTTAAAACGTTATATATTAGTTAAACAGCAAGACCCGTGACCACGGCTGCTGCAAAACATCGGGCCGTAGTTAAAATAACTTTCAAATAAGTTAAACTAATATGTATCGCGTTTTTAACTGTTAAAGTTTTTACTTACTTTACTTAAACATGTTAGTATATGTTGATTATTGTTGCGAAGAATCTAGAAATCAAATACGCCAGTTCTTATAGATTTAACTGCGGCTTGTCTAATTATTTGATTCCTTTTTTAAATTGTTGAAACTTAACAAGTGTCCGTTATAGGATATTATAGAGAAACCGGAAACAAGAATGAATCAAAACCGGACGTAGACGTTTCTTGAAATTTATTAATATTATTGTACCGTAAATATTTTTCAAATGAAGTCACAAGTGTCATGGTTATAAGACAATGCGTAGGGCGTAGATTTGCTCGTGATTTCGCGTTACTTCCGACATGTGCGCATGATTCTTGGATTACTATTAATCTTCTACAATAATTTTAATCACATATGATGAACTAAATATACTTACTCTATTGATAACAATGCTTTGCGTTAATCCACTTCCCTATGCGCGGCATGCATTTCCGTGTCAATTTAACTGAAAAACTAGAACAAACTCCTGTGCCATGCCCGACCGAAATATTGCTGTTTATGTCCTCCTAGACTAGGCTTTAATTTTGTGTTAGGCCAGTTTATATAAGTAGGTATAATCCATAAAAAATGTCTGTATTCTAATTTATAAAGTACCTAGAATCTGTATTTTGTTTAAATTTTGTGAAAATATTTTTTTTAACTAGATCTGTTTTTAATTTCAGGTCGCGAAGGTTCCAGTGTTAATTCATCAAGTGGATCGCAAGCTCTCACTGAAGACGAAGAACGCGAAGATACGGAACCCCGCTGCTCCTTCTGTGATGCACCTTTTCCTAACATTGACGCGTAAGTTTTTTGATATAACCTCTCGAGACACGTAAACTCCATCTATAGTTTAACACTTACTAAATAATATTTTATTATACTTATATACTTCTTGTAAAGAGAAGACGAATATTTTAGTTACAGATAAAAACACTAATCCAAAACTTTGACAGTCATCTACATTTGAACTTAACAAAGCTTGTACGCGTTCCTATAAATAATTCTCTTAACAAACATGAGAGATATTTGCGATGCTTTTAACAGGGAAAAGTACTGACCATTTTATTCAATTATCAGGTTTAACTCGGATTTACCAATTAACTTAAAGAAAGAGCAATTAAAACAATTAACAACATTGAACAAAGCCTTAATAAACCTCCTTACAGTGAAAGGTAATCTGACAAAATTAAAAATTACAAAGAAATCTCTTATGTTGAATTAAGGAAGGTTTTTTTGATTCGCAAGTAATGCGTTGTACAATACGACAGCGAATATTGTTCTAATAAGGCGAACATTAAAATGATAGTGGTTGTACTTAATACCGATTGTATATTCTGTACACTCAAGCGGTTTAAAAGGCGAAATATATCCGTTTAACTTATTTGGAAATGATTTTACTTACGGTGTTTCGGATGCTTTCACGGCTGCTGTAAAGGGTTCAAAACGTCGGGCCATAGTTAGATATAAATATAATAGTTCTAGATACGCTCTTTTATAAGAATGCCATAAGTGGCAAAATGACTACATATTTTGAGGGATAAAAAAGTTTTAGGGAATGAATTTTTAACTTGAAATATACTGTTATATTTACGGAGTATACACATTTAAATAAAACACTTTAACGGTTTAACGTTAGGGAACTCCTGACCACGTTAACTGCTGCAAAGATCGATCGGGCCGAAGTTAAAAATCATTTTCAAATAAGTTAACTAATAAGTTTTAAACCGTTAATTTTTATTTAAACTTGAATATAGATTTCAATTTTTATAGACACACATAGTGCTTATTGATCGCAATAATTTTATTTTAGTTTATAACATATGGACAGAAGTCAAACCTGGGTCAAACCAGCGCTACAAATGAATTAAATATACTACGTATTGTTATATGTTGTACCGTTGTACCTTTAGTGCAAAATCCCAAACTAAAGGTCATCTAAAAAGAAATGAATTTAGTTCTAAGTACAGTCCGGTAGAGATGTGCTCGTTCGATAAGACACGATCGATGATATGTTGCCGGCTCCGTCGGTGCCACGCGAATCTCTTAAATTCCTCACGCTTTCGACATCGCTTCTGGTGTGTAATTACAAACTGAATCTATTGAAATGGAATTGCTGAACCGGTCGCGATTTATTACTGTCTATTACAAATAGAGCAATTTTGTGAGATTTCTAAGAGATGATATAATACGAGGATCTCCTGATAAAAATAAATAATCTTAACATGAAACTAAGATAAATGCAATTTTGGATCTAAAAAATGTTTACTAAAAATAACTGCTTAGAATTTATTCCCTTACGGTTGCTTATTGTACAATTTATATTTGTTATCTAAATAAAATAATAATTTACAGCAGTGATAGTTCAATAAAATCAAATCCACGATATGAGGTTGTTTGAGGCAATTTAAAGATAGGAATTACTTGAGCAAAAACTGAGTTTGTAATATTATTTATGTAGGAATTATATTAACAATTTTCGCTCACTGTTAGATAAGCATTTTTAAACTATAAAAAATATAAGTAAGTCAAGCGTATAATTGCAGCTACACTGCCTTTAGCGGCATCATATATAGCACAAGTAAATTTGTCTAAAATCAATCGGGTAGTATCAATAAAAAAAAATCCTATCAGCTGTCATTTATCGCCTCAATAAGAGTTAAAATCTCATTAGGAAATACGACTTTTGTCACGAAAAATAATAGAAAACCATAGATACGATGTACGATAGGCGAGGTGTAGCGTGTGCCATCGTATTCTATTGAAGCGCTCGTTAATAATGCAAGGACCCGAGATTATCGACATGCACAGTTTTATCGTGTCCTTATCAGCGCATCACTAGATAATTGGTAATGTATTTGGAACATCGTGATTGTTAAATTGTCCAAGTCAATTATCATCGATTATAATAACATTTTGCCCTTTGTACTTGAAATATAGATTTTCAATAATAGTGGAAACATTTTTAGTGTTCATAAGAAAAGTGGCACTCAATTATGTTAAATGAATCTACCTTTTTGAGTTGACCGATTGGCGATTTTAAAACACAAGCTGTAGCACTTTGGTTTAGTGTAGTGAGGCTAGGATTATTACAAAAATATGTGCTTACTTCCGAAATCTATGTAAGTATTTAACAATGTAGAAAACTAATTTCAGAAGTAAACAAAGAAGCAAACATTATACCGTCGCAATAAAAAAAGGTATAGTTGTTATTTCTTGAAATAAAAAGCACTTCGTTACACACGTGAAAGTTAATTATTTTATATTATTATCTCATTTATAAATTATATAGTTATATTTTGTTTCAATAGTGGCAATCGTGCAATTACTATGATATTATAAGGTTATTTACGGCGTTAGAATTCCACTTTTACTTTTGAATAAGTCGCGTCCTTATCTCTCACATCGTGCAATCTGTCATATTTGATAAGCCATCTGATATGACAGTAGCAGTTACAGATCAGAATTATAGGCCATCGTGATATTATGCAACGTTATTTTAGTTAATATGCAAAAATAAGTGTGATGGAATATCGCGATCTACGTGGAGCATGGGGTGTGGGGCAACAAAATGATTTCTCTGTTACACTTGAACTTGTGAGTCCTCTCCAACGGAATGATAGAACTTAGTATTAAATTCCCTACTATACTATTCATTACTTTCCCTTTTGAAATAAAACACTTTTAAGGTTTAAAACGCGATATATACAAGTTAAGCTTAGGCTGACGCGCAAAGTATCTAAAACGTCGGGCCGTAGTTTAAGTAATTTTCAAATTTTAACACGTTTGTTATATCGGCTTAAAAGTGTTTTATTTTAATGTATATGACTCGCGTGATCTACAGACAGTTAGTTACCTTTTCAAACATTTTATTAACTTTAATCCTGAAGTACTTATTACTTAGATAAACCATATCTTTCACTATCGGTCATAGAATCAATATCCAATACATTTAATTTACATACAATGTATTCTGAGATTGTTTCAGTTTTGATTGATGTATCGGGCGCGGACGATCAAAAGATTCTGATCAAAGATGCTTCTACAATAATTAATATACTTTATTAAAGACATTTTACACTGAGAGCATGAACCATAGCTTAGGAGTTGGGATCTGTATGTTCACTACTAGATAAAATAAATAAGAAAACATTCGTTATGAATGTTTTTTTTATAAGAAATTGTTACGAGTGGTGAAACTCTCAACCAGCATTTTTGTTTACGTTATTAAACCGTTTTAAAACTAGATTTTATTCTTTATTTTTCGGATTTTTTGTTTCCTGAGCACATTTTGGAGCCTGCCCGTCTCGTATTGTTAAAATAATCAAAATTTATTTTTAAAATTAACTTAATTCTAATCTTATATTTAAATAAAACAATGACCATTAGGTACGTACTTTCTTAAGAAAGATTATTTCTTCCTTAACAATAAACACCGGTAATCTACATATCCTCTAAAAATCCTCATAATAAATATATTTATTCATCGTACGCATGTTTTAGGGATCTCTAACAGCAATAACTCTAATACCTGTATCAGATACACCATTTACGTGTATTAAAACTTATCTAAATAACAAATAGAAATTGCAAGTCGGCAGGTGGCACCATTGCTGCCACTCTACAATAGATTGTTATTAAAATGTAAGCACTTACGGCGGTAGTGCATCATTAGTGCGTTGGGGCGCTAAAACGCTGCTCTTTCGAAATGTCTTCACGATGCTGAAAGAAAGAGATATGTTAAAAGATAAAAAGTTGAAACAAAAAAATAAAAAAAAAAATTTTAAGGGGTTTTTTTTTTGCCCGCCGGGGGGGGGGGGGGGGGGGGGGGGGGGGGGGGGGGGGGGGGGGGCCCCCCCCCCCCCGCCCAATTTAAAAATTTTTTCCGGTTTTAAAACGGGTATTTTTTTTTTTTAAATGTGGCACCCCCCGCGAAAAAAAAAGACAGTATTTAACAGTTTATATGTGTTTAAAATTATGTTAAATATTTAAAATTTGTTTAATGTCGTTTAACTTAAGGAATTAACGTAAGTAAAATCTTTTTCTAGTTAACTGAAAAAAAAACAGCAGATATAAAGTAAAAGTCGATTATAAATTGAAAAAAAAATTACGACACGGGCAAAACTTGAACCGGCATCCATATGGTTATTGCTCTACCAATTGAGGTACCTAATTATCTCTTAATAATCGATTTTTAATTTATTTATAGCCATCATGTGCAATGCAATATGTGAAAAATATAAAAGTTTTCAAGTAGAAATGTTACTTTTATCGATTGATATCAAAGAGAATAATATGCCTATATTCTTTTATACTGATTAGCTCGTAATGATCCCCGAATTACATGCACGTCATTACAATTGCGTTACACCATAACTGTAGCGGCATTTTAGCACCGCAACTGATCCCAGTGGCGTATGTGGGTGGAGTTAAATGAATCTGACCGGAATGAAAGTTGTTCATTGGATGTTATCAATCCGTGAATATTTCGATCGTTTTCTATGATCGAGATAATTGTAACCTCTTGTAATTTGTATGGAACAAGACCACTTTAAGATACACGGCACAGATTGTACATAAATTTAATCTATTTAAAAAGAAAATGAAAATATACATAGCATGTCGTATGCGTAAGTTGGACGAAATAATTAGAAGAATAGTAATAACTTCAAAATATAAAATAATTATCCTACAAGTGTTTGTTACTATAACTTACGTGTTTTACGCTACGTAGTCTAGTGATGTGTAAATGTACACAGTTTTGTACCACAATTAAACTGTGTAAATACTTCTCTAACACGTTATACACAAGGAACTTAAAAAGCTTTAAAAGGCGGTTACTATTGAAAGAATGTTTACGTAAGAAGCTATTAAGAAGTACACAATCGGCCTGTGTCCGAAAGGTTCAAACATTTGCTTAAAAAGTACGTCCGAAATGTGAAGTCTAGATAATTCACAATAAATTTAGCTTACGGCTCTTTAGTAGTTATATCATTTAACAATGCTACCTTTCTAACTCAATTCTCAATAATATGCATAGATATCGTAAAATGTAATAGAGCTTTTCGGTTGAAATTTCCGAATGTCCAACGACCCTGGTTTCTGATTCGGACGGAATTACGACGTTCCTATTATCCATATTATGGTAACTAGCTTTCTAGAACAGTCCCGCATGTTTCATAAACTATATCTATTGTCATAGATATAATGGTAGACTGAGATCGACGAGTTTATGAATTTATATACACGTAATAACTTGCTGTGTTAGTTACTTCGTTCGCGTAGAATAATTGTGTGTTTGCCACCGAATTTTTTTTTTGCAAACCGTTATAGATTTAAGCTGCTGCCCACGACGTTGCGTCCCGTCGTTCTTGCAAGTTACTCTTAAAAGACAGACATATAGTATCGTGAACATTTTTTAAGATCATTAAGATTTCCTAAGAGTAGTATTCTTGCATATATTCAGCTTTATATATTAGTATAGATCTACGTATTTATCCTGTTTCTAAGAGCGGCAAACATAAATCGAGTGAAATAAAAGATATCCTACTAATGGAACACGTATTTATCGGCATTACTTATGCGTGAAAACATCAGAACTAAATATGGTCTAACTCGGATTGATTTAAATTAAATAACCACTTTCCCGTTCACTATTTTGATTGCTAAGTGCGAGACTTGAATACGCAATGACGAGTGGACGGTACTATTACCGTCTCTACATCTTATTCTGTAGATTAATTAAAAGATACGGCGGCGACTACTTGTCGAGAGTGAAAACGCTTCCATCTTATCAAACGACAGACGGAGCTTTCGTATTACCAAGCGTAGATCTTCGTATTAGACTACAATCGATATTTTTAAGAAGTAAGACACGTATATTTAAAACACACACATACCTCAGCCACATGAACTAATATATAAAGTTGAAGAGTTTGTTTTTTTGTTTATTTGAACGCGTTAATCTTAGGAACCAGTAGTCAAATTGACAATCCTTCTTATGTTAGTTAGAGCATTTATGGAGAATGGCTATAAGTCATAAAAATCGAAAAGAAACAGCGGGGAATTTAGAAAAAAACGGAGAGAATCATAATTTTTTTGTTGGTTTCCGATGTATGTATGTCCGTACGCTGCAAAAACTGTTCAAAATACTCATAAAATATGTATAAAAGAATGATTTCTCTTTAAATGACTCGACCAACGTCGTGGGTAACAGCATATATTTATAAATATGGAGAGGTTACATTAAAAAATTGAATGCCCAAAATTTATTTTTACGCAAACGAAGTCGCTGACACAGCTAGTACTAACATGTGTTCTATCTAATGATAAAAGGAAGTATGTGTCTCATTGAATCCTGATGGGAATAGAATTAGTCACTATTTGAAAGTTCTTTTAACATTTTCGTATACTAGGCCGATCTCATCTTATATACTTGTAGTTATAGATTATTAAACTATAGAAAAATAAATGTCAATTTTTAAATAAATTAAATACACATGAGAACTTAATTAGGACGTAAGTACAAAGAAAACTAGGTTAATAATAAATAAATCGCCTAAATAATAATTTAGATTTAGATAAGATGATTCCGTTCGTCAATGTAATTCTAACATCGCAAAATGATCGTATTGAGTAACAGGTGCAAGATACAGCCTACGGCGCAGGAGTTGCGTGCTATGAACCAGTTACTGCCCTGATACCATTTTTGAAAATAATATACGCTTTGCATCAAATGTCGGAAGAGGTCCGAGATAGAACTGATAATTTGCATGTTTGACATTGTGAGAGTAATAGACACAAAGACTAGAACCGGTAAATGTAATTGAATAGAGTATTTATCTTAACCGATGTTAATAGTCTGTGGTCGATGGTCTATTTAGTTTAGATTATTATTTATATTCCGAATATCTAAGGCTAAAAATAGGTCGACCGCGCATCTTGTTTAGATATTATATGGATGTGGTATTTCACCTATGATCAAGTGAAGCCATGCTTGTCTGTCCTTCTCTATCATAAAACAATATTTATATATATTATCTATACTAATATGTATGTATCAAGTTCAAATAGCTAAGATAACCTATTATGTGTAATTAATAAAGAACTCAGAACACATTTAGTAATATTATATTATTTTTGCGAATACATTTTATTGCAAAAATAATTCGCATTTTCGTCATGAACTTTGAACACATTTGAATTATGTATGGAGCAATGGGCCATAAGTTATCTTTGCGTGGGTGGCTCATGCGCAACGCCGTTTGTTTACTATTGTATCCTAAATTCAGATAGTGTTCCTAAGTTCGTTCCTACCCACGTGCGAAATATTTCTACCCTTTTCCCTTTATTTTTGATATCGTTTATATTAAATCTGTTAAGTTGATATTGTGCAAGTTGATTAGTATTTTTAACTTTATTATATTTGTTACTCTTTCTTCACATTACACGCCAGGATTAGAAAAAACTCATTTATAAAAAAAATGTTTCTTATACAAGTTAATTAAACCACTAAAGTCATTTTTAGTAAATCGATATATCACATTTCAAAGTTTTTATTTCCAATTTCAGACTCGATCGTCACCTAATACAAGCGCACGCGCAGCCGGCAGCCGCTTATCATTGCGAGCTTTGCAACCGAGCTTACAGTTCACGGGCCTTACTACTTCGACACAGAGCCCTAACCCATACTGATATTAGAAAATATCCCTGCGAGAATTGTCCTAAGGTAAGTTTTTATTAAGTTTATAAAAATAGGCATTTACCAATATATAAGTTGTGAAGTAATGTCTACTATAAAATGTATCTATAATAAACAAAAAATCAGAATTAACCTAATAAAACCATTTTTTTCAAAACGTCTTATGCAATGTTTCATATTAGATATTTATTACATAATTCCTAACACTGTTACCAGTACGAAATTTAGTAGGTTCAATTCCTGAATAAAAGTCCGTGTTTTGTAGAAAGCATAGATAACCAGTCACGTTCCGAAACCTGATGTCATTTTATCATCGATCACAAAAAGTAAAGAAAAAATAATATCACGTTCCGAAACCTGACTATATTTCAGGTATTTACCGATCCTTCCAACCTCCAGCGACACATACGCGCTCAGCACGTGGGAGCTCGGAGCCACGCCTGCCCCGAATGCGGGAAGACCTTCGCCACTTCATCCGGTCTGAAGCAACATACGCACATACACTCCAGCGTGAAGCCCTTCCAGTGCAAAGTCTGTTTTAAGGTGAGGTTTTTTAAATTATTTATTTTTATTTATTACGAATTATCAAAGGGTTTATAACATTTTAAATTTAAATAAAACACTTTAACGTTTAAAACGCGAATTTTGAAAATATTTTTAAGCCGATTCGGATGCTTTGCACATTTTACATTTTGTTGTAAAGTCAACAGGATAAAACTCTTATTCTTATAAATTATAGCTTTGTTAACTGAAGTTGAATAAAAAGCATTCAATTGTATTCTTGTATATTTTCAGGCCTACACGCAGTTTTCCAACTTGTGTCGACACAAACGAATGCACGTCGCCTGCAGAGCTTTGGTGGAATGCCAGAAATGTGGCCAGTCCTTTACATCATACGCATCACTCACTAAGCACAAGCGTTTCTGTGACACCGCTTCTGCAGCCAACGTCAACTTGCGAGGACAGCTGCCTCAAGGATTAGCTCAAATATCGCCAATACCCAACGTCATGAATACGCCAAATAGTACAAATCCGTTCCCCATGTATAGGCCCTCATTGCCTCTTCCATATAATACCTTTGCTCACTACCCGGCATTATTCTCAGCGGCAGCTGCTGCCTGTCCTCCAGAGTTCCTGAGCCCCCTTCTTTTTAATGTTCAGGGAGCTAGACTGGCCATGGAACAAGATATGGCTTACAACGCTAATTTAGTTGCTAAACAACAACAGGAAGGACGAATGTCTGTCAAAAGTGTTGATAGTTCAGCGTCTGTTGAAGAAGTTAAGAAAACGGAACCTGACGTTGATGTGATTCAGAAGGATGATAGTGAGCGAGTGACACCAAAACCGCAAAATCCTTACCTAAAACAATCTCCTGTCGAAGAAAGTGGCTCCAAAAATTCAACAATTATGTCGTTAACTCAATCACTGGCGCCGTTTAATTACTCTAGAGATAATATCAAACACAGTCCATACAATCTGTCATTAAAGTTAAACAACAATGACATTACCGAAACAAAACCTTCTTCGCTGTCCCCAAAAGATTTGTCAAAGTCTGTTAAGAATGTCGAGAAGAAATCGGAATATTCAGATGAAGACATGGATTTGAAGAAGGAACAAAACGACCAGCCACTGGACTTATCGATAACACGAAAAAATGACAAGGAATCCGAACCGGAGAACGACGATCGTTCCTTTCGTAACTCGTCCGTCAAGTCGTACTCCCCACCCGAGAGTCCCATGGAAAGAGACACAAAGACTCCAGAAAATGACACAACTGACGTCGACGTAGAGGCCGTTGAGCCAAAACGGGAAGACTCTCCGCAGATCGTATCACCACCTCTGGCCTTTCCAATGCCAGTCCACCCTCAGCATAACGCTAGTCTTATGGACATGTACCGACCACGATTCCCTCCATTCCAGACACCTGATTCGATCTTGAATTCGCATTCTCCCTACGTCCCGAGTCCGTTTAATTTTTTATCCCCACTTCTTGGTACTGACGGGCCAGAAAGGCAACCAAACTATGCAAAGTTCCGAGAACTGAGTGCCGGATCTGGGAAGCTCCGAGATAGATACGCTTGCAAGTTTTGTGGAAAAGTATTCCCTCGCAGCGCAAACTTGACGCGTCATCTTCGAACCCACACTGGGGAACAACCATACAAATGTAAATATTGCGAGCGATCGTTCTCTATATCGTCAAATCTGCAAAGACACGTCCGTAATATACATAACAAGGAGAGACCCTTTCGCTGTCCACTGTGCGATAGGTGTTTCGGTCAGCAAACGAACTTGGACAGGCATTTGAAGAAGCACGAAGCTGAGGGTGGGGATTCCCCCAGCTCAGCGGACACCGAACAAGATGCGTGTTTCGATGACATCAGATCCTTCATGGGCAAAGTCACGTGTTCCCCGGGAGCGAGGTCTGCTGCGAACTCGCCGCATACACCCCACCCGTCGCACCCCTCGCATGCCCCACGTCCCCCTCTTGCGATATCCACCTAGCCGATGATGTACCCGATGCCTCTATGGCATCAGCATTTTGAATAGATAACACAATTGCATAGGATATATTAGACTATACTATGTAGATTTTTCTTCAGATTATTATAAAAATACGTCAAACTTACGATACCTTCATGACTACCAACAAATATATTTTGGAGCTTCTGGTATTAAATAATTCTTAATGATCAGTTCCGTAAATGGTAAAATAATATTTAACTAAAGACTAGTATATTTGTTCGTAAATATGTACATGGTTTAATTTGAGTAACAATATAATTTTCGTAATTTATACCAAGCGTTAGAATCTTAAGTTATTGTCACTTTAAGTATATCCAGGGGAATCGTAACTCTAGTATTGAAAATAGCAATAGTAAGTTAGTCTAATCGCAAATATGTCCCGATGTATATTTCATATAATTCTGATACATTTGTATGATCGATATATATGTACGATAAAATTAAGTGATAGTTATAAAAATCGTATTAAAAATGCGAGTACAGAAATTTTTGTTCCTAGATTTAGTTGTGAACGGATTTTCCGCTTGTAAATAGTGAATAATGTTGATGTAAATATAAATCCACGACGAAATTTTTTATCATATAGTAATAAGAATTACATTACATTTCTAATTTGTGATAATATTGAGGCATTGAAAAAAATTGGAAATCCAGTCAAAGAAAAGCTATTTTAAACTACTTTTAACATATAATAATGTAATGTAGATGACTTGTGATTGGCGAAATAAACGATAAACGAAATCGTCTTAGTCAAAAATTCTACCAAAGCATTGGTTCGTAAAATATATAAATTGTAATAGATTAATATAATTGTCGAAAGAGTTAAAATAGGATTGGATTCGGAAATATCAATATTATTTTGTTAAATTTGTTATTTACAAGTTAATGTACATACTTATATTAGTTATAACGCATATCATAGGCTCAATTGTTTAGCTGACTAAGCTACTTTCGATTCGTAATATATTCTAGGATTCATCAATGGTTTACTATTAATATTTAAAGTGATAATATATTTCATTAGAAGACTAACATGCACATTAGCGATTTGTTTTTATTCCTTAAGAGTGGCTATTTATAATAGTCTTAAAAAATTACTTACAACGCAATGCAATATTTAAATCTACAAACGAACTTCTTATAATTACGTAGAAGGATAAATTGTTGAATTATACATATTGTCACAAGTTATTTGACAGCTTATTAAAAACATCTACAATGTTTAATTGTGAATTTATATTTTAACAATTTATCCATTTACTTATAACAAATATATCACATGGCACTCTCAAAATATTGTCACAAAATTGCATCTCGACACTGATTCTAAACTGCAAAGACTCTTCCCTCTATTGTAAAGCATTGACAAATAAATTTTACGATTTAATTTATTTCTTTTATTTATCCTTATTCACATTGAAAGCGATTGAGAGTTGAAAACTTTATGACAATTATGTAGGTAGTGTATGTCGTTTTTAACTTGGGACACATTTTCCAGGAGTTCGTCTTTTCCCAGGGAAAATACTTTTTTCCGTTACTACTTCGGGATCTCTTGCTCTTAAGTAATAAGTAATGTGTTAAACCATTTGGAGTCGTTCTCCTCATGATATAACATAATTATAATTATCCTCGAATAAGTATTATTTAGGATATTGAAGTGAAAAAAAGGTATTAATTTTTATGCTTAAGTGATGATAAAATATTGCACAATATAGGATTATTAATATCTACAAATTGTGGTTCTTCTTTTAATTAATTTGGCCAGAGATTATTACAAAAGGTAGATTTACTATAAGCTTTTCGAATTTTTGAGTGATATATATTATCAGTTAAAATTATTTTAACTACGGCCCAACGTTTCGGATGCTTTTGCAGCTGTGGTCACGGGGGGAAACGGGGAAACGTTGGGCTGTATTCAAAATATTTTTTAATAAGTTTAACTAATATACTTATATCGCGTTTTATATCAGTATTCTTTTCTCACTTATTGTATAAAAATATAATATTTGTAGATTCTCAAATGCGGCTTAAGTTGTTTTATAGAATATTAGTCCAGTGGTCAGACGTTATTAACGAGACAAATTGAAATAATTATCGTGTTAATTGGCAGTCTTATAAGATAACAAATGAAATCCTATATCTTATCGCTTTATCTTATAAGACTTAAGTGGTAAATCGGTACAGAAAATGAAGGCAGTTACCTGTGCAAAATAATATGGGTGATTAATAAAACTGCATCTAAACTAAACCAGTTCCTACAGCAGTTCCAACAATACTGTATCTACTATAGTTTTTAGTATTGGTTCGTTCTTCAGACCCGTCGTGGGTAGGTTAATAAAAAATCTTTTTATCGCTTTAAAAGGTGAAATATAGTAGGTAACGTATTTTTAATCCATTAAATTAAATAACCCGGCATTTTGGATGTTGCATTCAGACAGTTCCATTGCGGGCTCTGGGGAAAAAAGTGAAAAAAACCAAAAAGTTAAAAGTGATTCCTCTTTAAATTAACTAAAAAAATGTCCTCGAGACTATATGTCTATGCTTTAAAATTAACTTAGAAGTTAATGAACGACGGGACGCGACCGAAGTCATAATAAGCTATATTTTATAAAGATAAGAAGGTTTGCAAAAACAAATTTTGGTGGCCCAAATTCTAGGCGGACAAGGTCGCTAACACAGCTACTAAATATCAAATAGAGATTGAAAGTTATGAATAGATTTTCCTTGCTATGGAAAGTCTACGACTAAGCCAACCTCGTTCTAGCAAATTGGATTTTCCAACGTAATCTCTGCATATAAAGAATTCTAATAAATCAAGATGTAATACAGGATGCACTTCCGTCAACGGATTGCTCTGTTGCATTCCGATCTTTACTCTCAACTAATGCAGGGGAAATTTTTTACACCATCACAAATTTACGAACTTGGAGGCGAGTGACATACCTTTGCTGATGTTAGTGTAATGGGCTGGATGTCGAACATTCTTCGAGTGTTGATCAGACTTTTTTTCAATAAAAAAGGTGTTTTAACCGTATAGAGAAAGATTAGAGCGATTACGGTGAATCAAAACATCGTTTTAAATTTTCGCATCTTAAAAAAGGATGCATAATCATTCTAATACAGAACGTGTGTTGCGCAACGTATTATATAAGAAAATAAAATTACATGTAGAAATTAAAAAATATACGTACAGATTACAAAACAAAACGGGATACGAAATATACTAGTTAACTTATTTTTGTCTATTTAACTAAGTATGTGCTGCCCGACGTTTCAGATGTTTTTCAGCAGCCGTGGTCACGGGGGAAGTTAATAAAGTATTTGTTTTAGCCATAAAAAATGTTTTATTTAAATATAATACTTCAATTTTCGTAGCGATATCATATAGAATCTTAGAACTAGGATGCTCCTGCATATGATGAAACAAAAGCACTTACTTGACAACATTATAAGTATAAACAAACTCAAATATATCATCAAAGCCTAATTCTCGGCCTATTCTGGCCAAATCTACTTAGCTATTTGCTGAAGACTGCTGGAAGGTCTTGGGTCTTTACCATTCCATTTGTGTTGCTTACATTTATCTTTATTTAAAATTTAAAACAACATAAATGTAGGTGGAAATGTGATCTATAAATAAAAAAAACTATTAAAATTCTAGCCAGGAAATAAATTAAATAAAACCTACACTAAGTTAAATGTTGAATATTAATAAACTAATATTAATAACGAAAAAATTCCACGGCACCTTGAGATAGATTTAATGTTTCAGTTTACGTTGATTACTTCAGTAATTGGTCATAAAACTGGAAGTTTAAATGTTAAACTTTTTCTGTTTTGTTACAGAAAATAATGTTAAAATAACTAATATCACTTAATGTCAAAATGACGTCCTTAGTTTTTGTCTACATACCTGTCATGTCGCGTGGAAATTGTGTAGCATTATTCTACTCTTCCTGTTCTAAATTATTTATTAATGTTAGCTGTTAAGTTTTCCTAATATTATAAAAATAACTAATAAATAAAATAAAAATTATTGAATACATTAAAAAGAATGATCTCTTACTAGGTATTATTTTATACGAGCTGTATTATTTAAAATATCATTTTTTTTATGAACCGATTGACATAAACCAAACATTGAATGTTACGTAGAGTTTTCCAAAATATATAATTAAGATTCGCGTGTACAAACGAATAGACAAACAGAGAAACAGAAAAATAATTCTAATCATTGTTTACGATACTATTGCGTTGATCAAGGTCTCCTTTAAATTATTTTTTTTTACCATGAAAGACAGCGTTTGGTTACATTTTTATTATATGTATAAATTCAGTTTCAGCGCTCTATGAATTTAAATTTTAATATCATCATTTTTTAAATCTTCGACACCTTGGCAACTTATAATATATATATATTGATATATACTCTTTTATGATATGATTCATACATATGATACTATATATAAGTACCATAGATTATCTCTTTTAGGGGTGAAGTTTCAAGCCTAGGACTAAACATTTACCATAGATTTCCTATTAAAGTTTCAGCATCATCTAAGTAACTAATTAGATGATCTAAAATAGGAAACTTCACCTCATTAATAAGACTCCTCTTTACATTTTCAGAAAATAAATCTATATAATGTCTCTCACGGCCTTATCACCGGCTGAGATGTATTTTTGCATCCGGTTACTGATTGAATAATATATGATATAAGAGATAGGTAGCGAACGGTTCGTTATCAGTGAAAGCAAGGACGCAACAAGGACGCCGATAAGGCAATTACACTTATTATAGACCGGCCATTCGCTATCGTGCCTTACCCCTTATGATCGGACTATACTTGAAGCGGAGCGATTATTTTAATGTAGCAACTAGTGATAGTGAATATTACATATAACTAGCTGTGCTTGCGACTTTGTCCGTGTGTAACAGTGCTTGCAAACCTACTCCATTATAATTGTAGCTGTTATCC